ATTTGATATCATTATAAATAACATCAAACAGGTGGAATGCATTAGAAAATGATAGTTATCATCTCTCCAGACTCTCTATAGAATGAGAAAGTTAGAAGTCTTCTGTTGACCATAAAGAGTATACTGCCCATATAACACTTAACCTGAAAATATAAACTGCAATGAAAAAAATCACAGATGGGTCAATTTTTCGAAAAAAAAAATGAACCAAAAGATATACTGAAAATTAATGACATAGAAAAAAAGAGAATAGAAAAAAATGGGAGTTTTTAAAATTTCTTGTACACACAACAAATACACATGCACACACATACATATCAGCAATACCTGTAGTCATTTTATGTAGGGGCCAATGGTACTGCATATCATACATGAGTTTTCAGTTGCTCTCTGGGGAGTATTTGATACTCCTTTAAATCAAATCTAATAGAAACTTAAAAAAAAAAAAAGAAAGAAAGGGGTGCCTGTGTGGCTCAGTCAGTAAAGCGTCTGACTCTTGATCTTGGCTCAGGTCATGATCTCAGGGTTTGTGGGTTCAAGCCTGGAATTGGGCTCTGCAACAATAGTACAGAGCCTGTTTGGGATTGTCTCTCCCTCTCTCTCTGCCCCTCCCCCACTCATATGTGCTGGTGTATGTGCTTTCTCTCTCTCTCTCTCTCTCTCTCAAAATAAATAAATAAACTTTAAAAATCTAAGTGAATTCTTTGATATATTTAACTACACATTAAAGACACTCAATGCAGACCTTGTAACTGTAATAATTTTTCTATGAAATCTCTTTTGTTCTTGGTAAATCTCATCTCATGTGTTCAGAAATACTTTGGTTTAAAGATTTTTTTCTAGGGGCACCTGGGTGATGCGGTCGGTTAAGTGTCCTCCTCTTGATCTCAGCTCAGGTCATGATCTCACGGTTTGCAACTTTGAACCCCGCGTCAGGCTCTGCGGGATGGTGCAGTACCTGCTTGGGATTCTGTCTCTCCTTCTCTCTGCCTTTCCCCTGCTTGTGTGTGCATGTGCTCTCTCTCTCCCTCAAAATAAATAAACTTAAAAAAAAAAAAAAGATATTTCTATTTGGATTTCCTAAGGACATTTTGTTAATGATACTAGTTACAAAAAGAGTTATTATCTTCCCAGTTCTGAACTTCTGAGGCATAAATACTTCACAATAATGTGGAATTGGGGACACAGCAAAGATACTAAGCTTAATTTTGTTACTTTCCCCAGAGGATCAAAATAAAGTCAAATGGTGTATCAACTTCTGTCCTGCAATTTCTACTTTACACTCTGTTAGTTTTGAGTTCTAAGAGCAGCCAGGAGAGTATCTGAAGACACTTTGTTTCTACTTTGCCTTTCTTCCCAGTAATATAAATATCTGAAAAGGTTATTGCTTAACCTATAAAACAGAGACATTCAAATTTATGAATACTAAAAACACCCTGTTCATTTCTGTTAAACGATGTGATGAGCTGGAAATGGTGATTTTTCTCAGTGGAAAGGACATGTCAAATAAAGGAAGAACTTTCCTTGTCGCATTCTTAACGACCCTCTGATTCCATTGTAGCCTTGATTATTCTTTATCACTAACCTTTTGACCACTTTTCTCACCCTCTTCTTTGTTTCTACTTCCCCATATCAGTAAGTCAAAATGCCATTCTCACCACCATCATCTCATGGTTATAGACCAGGCCTCCTCAAACATGGATTCAACCAAACAGTTGGGGATTTGAGCAGGTGTATGGTTCCCTGTATCGCTGTTTCCTTCACTGGAAGCTGGAAATTGAAGTCAGTGGTTGTAATCAGACTAGAAGGATTACAATTCATCTAGGCTATTATTCACTGCTGCTGGTTTCATTTGTAACTTGTCTCTGCGAAGCGATTAAAAGGAAGCCGTTATTATAAGAATTTATGTACAACTGGCTTATGAATGTAAGCCACACTGGTTCTGAAACTTGTAAGACAAACCTACAGGAATATCCTATTATTTTAACTATTCTAACTTACATCTAATTTAAAGTTTTGAAGAAGATTTTATTTCTAAGACAGCATAGCCGTATGGTCAGCAAATAGAGCCTGTGTCTAGTCACAAGTTAATAATAGAAATAACAGTTTCCATTGACTATTGTATATATCATGGTGGTGAATCAAGATATTTTTGTAAAGTACTCAAATAACCTTAGGTTCAACGCTAACAGCTAATTCCATGATGGATAAAATACTACCTATGACCATTAAACTGTTTAAAATCACAAATGAGGGACACCTGGGTGGTTGTCGGTTAAGCATCTGACTTTGGTCAGGTCATGATGTCACAGTTTGTGAGTTTGAGCCCCACATCAGGCTCTGTGCTGACAGCTCAGAGCCTGGAACTTGCTTCGTATTCTGTGTCTCCCTCTCTGTGCCCTTCCCCCACTTGTGCTCTGTCTCTCTCTCTCTCAAAAATAAACATTAAAAAAATTTTTTTTTAAATATCACAAATGATTTACACAGTCCACTTGTTTGCCTATAGGAAATAATAAAATAAGTAATCCACAAGAGTTACCATTTGGCTTCCCTCACCTCCATCCCTAACTAACTAGGTGAGTGGCTTAATAATCTGGTTGCTTTATAATTTTGATATTCATTTTTTTCATATTTAAAAGTGGAAACTATAATTATAAGGTGATTGTGAGGAGTAACTGGCAAGTATGTAAAGCACCTGCCATGTACTTGACATAGAGCAGGTACTGAGTAATTGGTATCTATATTATTCATAACAAAAAATAATTAATTCTGTGTAATCAATTAGCTTCTTAAAAAACATTTACCATGTTTATGTAGAAAAACCATGTACAGTTTTGTCATTTGGGTTGTTCTCAGGTACGTTGGTGTAACACCACCTTTTTTTTTAGTCTGTTCTCACTAGAGATGCTAGCCGTGTAGACGTGTAGCCGTGTAGACGTCCCAAAGTTGACAATGACCTTGCCTCAGCCCCTGAGTTCCTCTTGTGAGAGAGCACTGTTTCTACTGCTTCTGGGCTGTGTGGTGTGGATTCTGCTTTTGGGGCTACTGCCTTTATTCCTTGGATCATATTTTTCTCACTGATCCATAAGGAAAGGTGTAAGAAAGCACTGAAGTTTATAAAATAAGTATGAATATATTTTATACTTCAAAGGTGCCTTTTGGGACTTGACAGTTTACAAGGAGAGTGATTAGTTTATAATTCTAAGAAAACAAAGCGGGGAGTTAGACTTTCTTTAGATTAGCTGATAGGGAGCAATCTAGGAGTAGGCTTTATGTATCCTAGCAGCATACCAACATCATTTATTTTTTTTGAATACAGCTTTCCGAATGTTACGATGACCATCCCAAAGTAGATATAAATACTCCAAAGTGGTGGGAGCATCTCTTAGCGGTTTCACTGAAATTTGCTCTAAGTGCTACTGAGTAGAGATATGCAGGAATAAGAATCATCTGTTTTATTGATTTGTTCTGTGACTTTGGGCTGGGACTGAATCTATCTTGAACATTCTTATGTTGTAGCACAGGATAGATGCTTTAAAAATACCCCAAATGGAGGGTGCCTGGGTGGCTCAGTTGGTTAAGCTACCAACTTCCACTCAGGTCATGATCTCATGGTTGGAGAGTTCAAGCCCCGCATTGGGCTCTGTGCTGACAGCTCGGAGCCTGGAGCCTGCTTCTGATTCTGTGTCTCCCCCTCTCTCTACCCCTCCCCTGTTCACGCTCTGTGTCTCAATAATAAAACATTTTTAAAAAATACCCCAAATGGAGACGGAGTTGAACTGTCCGTGACCAAGCTCCCTAGGCACTGATGTGGAAATTAGTGAAGACTGATTGGGAAGTCCATATAGATGACTGAAAGAAGTTTTAAAACCAAATGCATTCGGGAGAGTGTATTAGTCCAGCATCTCCATAAACAGTGCTTTTAAAAGCACCTACTTCAACGGGAAAAGTGCCTTTATTTGTCAGCCAGATTGCAGAACTTACAAAGAAAGAGA